AATGTCTTTTCTATTTGTCCTCAAGAAAAGCTTTTTATCCTCTTATTTAAGTTTACAAAACCCTCTCCATACAGCCCTCCCAACCTCCACCAAGCGCTTCCTGTCTCTCTCTCCCACTCTATTTTCCTCCATAGCACCGTCACTGTCTGGCATACTACAATTTATTTGTTTATTGAATTGTGATTTGTCTCTAGAAGTTTTCCATCTGCAAGTTAGTATTTATTTAGTGAAGTGTTCAGTGTATCCCCTTTTCTCTGATTGAAATAAATACAAAGTAAGTACATGCTATGGCATTCAGTAACACATAGAAGATGGTCCTAACCAACATCTCTAGCTTTCAGTTTACCATTGGAAACAAATTTTGAAGCCCAACAATTCAAAATTAAAACCCCGACTCTTCCACCTTGTAGTTGAGAACTTCAGAAAAATGACTTCAACTATTTGAACATGTTTTTGTTTTTGTTTTTTTTCCATATATAAAATTAGTGATTAGGCTAGATTATCTGAATACTTATAATCCCTTAGATCAGAAATGGGTATATAGAAAGAAGCCTAATAAATGTCCTCTATTATTATACTGCCTGTGAACATTTTCCCACCATCTGGAATTTGATCATACTGATCTCTCTACCTGAAATCTCCCTCCACTCCACCCCGTTTCGGCATTTCAAAATCCTACTCTTCTTATGAGACTCTCTCTCCCATTCTACCTCAGGAGTATTTTGTGTGTCTCTTAAGTCATTTAGCGTTACTTTACTTTTTCTCATTACAATTTCTACAGTTGTCTTAATTTCAGTGCTGTATTGGAAATTTCCCAAGTCAGAAGCACTATTCATCTTTGAAACTGTCATATCAACTAACAAATTGTCTGGATAATGTAATTGACTTAAAAAGCAGGCAGGATTGGTGCTTATAAAATGTTTATATTGGATCAAACTGCCTAAATGTCTAAATAATGTGTTTACATGAGGAAAATAGTAAACTAAGTAATGAGAATGATCAGTTATGTGTGATTGGAGTTAAAGTAATACAGAAAAAAAATTGGTAAGAGAAATCATTTTTTAAATTTTTATTTTATTTTACTTTATTTTTTTTTTAGATGGAGTGTCACTGTCTCACCCAGGCTGGAGTGTAGTGGCACGATATTGGCTCACTGCAAACTCTGCCTCCCGGGTTGAAGCAATTTTATGCCACGACGCCTGGTTTTTTTGGGGTTTTTTTTTCTGTCTTTTTAGTAGAGAAGGGATTTCACCATTTTGGCCAGGCTGGTCTCAAACTCTTGACCTCAAGTGATCCTCCTGCTTCAGCCTCACAAAGTGCTGGGATTACAGGTGAGAGCCACCACTCCCAGCCAGAGAAATCATTTTGATATCATGAATTATAAGTAGTTGCTAAGATATTCAGAGCATCAGACACAGATCATCCTTTGACTTGGCATTCTCTTCACCTAGAAAAGGAATCTTAGGGCCAGATGCAGTGGCTCACACCCGTAATCCCAGCACTTTGGGAAGCCAAGGTGGGAGGATCACCTGAGGTCAGGAGCGAGACCAGCCTGGCCAACATGGTGAAACCCCGTCTCTACTGGAAAAATAATATATATATACACATATATATATATACACACACACAAAATTAGCTGGGCGTGGTGGCACGTGCCTGTAATCCCAGCTATTCGGGAGGCTGACAGCAGAATCACTTGAACCTGGGAGGTGACGGTTGCAGTTAGTGGAGATCGTGCCATTGCACTCCAGCCTGGGCAACAAGAGCGAAACTCCGTCTCCCCGCCTCTCCCCCCCAAAAAAAAAGAAAAAGAAAAAAGAAAAGGAATCTTAGGTAAGTAGTTACAGGAAACAAATGAGCTCCTAAAAACTGCTTCATGATTGTTTTAACAGACGAAAACAAATATGAAATGAACCAAGAGCATGTAAAATATACTTTCTTTAAAGAAACCATAATTTCAATGAGCTAAACAGTTACCATGCACTGTTTAATTTTATTTATTTATTTATTTATTTATTTATTTATTTATTTATTTATTTTTAGAGACGGAGGTCTCGGTATGTTGCCTAGGCTGGTCTCAAACTGCTGAACCTTTGGTCTCATGTGATCCTCCTGCTGCAGTTTCTCAAAGTCACTCCATAAATTTTAGAAGAGCAGAATTTGAAAGGTAACCTAGTTCACATACCAAATAAAAAAGCTGAAATAATGTGTTTCTTGCAAAAATCACAAAGATAAAATAAGACCAGAATCCTGATCTGTTTTGAGTTCAAGTTAGTATTAGCTCAATTCCAGTTTAACTGCCTTCAATGTTTTATTTTTCTTTATACAGATTTTTAACAACATAATAAATCAGAAAAATTGTCAAAACCTTGTTTTTCCTATTTTTGCATACCAAAGTAAAAATTTCATGGTTGTTACTCTTTTGTAATTTAAGAGTGAAAATGGTTACTTTCATTTTTATTAACTAATTTCTATAAAACATTTGTGAAAAGATAGTGGGCTAACTAATCAAAGTTCTTTGCTGGTTGCACCTGTCATTTTTACTAAAGAGTGGTTTCTACTCATACTACTTGTAAAATAACTTTTACTGGGGTAATATGTAAAATATAAGTAAAAACTTAAGGAAATATTCGAACATAACTAAACAAATTTTAAAATGTATTTATTCAAAATTTTTGAATGTTGCTGATAAACTATTTCTGCAAGTATACATGAGAAATTGCTTAACATGGTTCTTCTCTGGGAAGTAAATTCAGTGTATAGGCATAGAAGACTACACGTCCTTTTGTTAAAAAAAAAAAAAAAAGAAAAAACTGTTATCATTGTTTTACTATTCAAAACCAAACAGAGCCAGGCGCGGTGACTCAAGCCTGTAATCCCAGCACTTTGGGAGGCCGAGGTGGGCGGATCAAGGGGTCAAGAGATCAAGACCATCCTGGCTAGCACGGTGAAACCCCGTTTCTACTAAAAATACGCAAATATTAGCTGGGCGTGGTGGTGGGCGCCTGTAGTCCCAGCTACTCAGGAGACTGAGGCAGGAGAATGGCATGAACCCAGGAGGGAGAGCTTGCAGAGAGCCCAGATCGTGCCACTGCACTCCAGCCTGAGCGACAGAGCAACTGTCTCAAAAAATAAAAATTAAATTTAAAAAAAAGCTTTTTCAGAATGCTGTGTGATCATGCAATTGCAACATTTTGCAATTCACTTCAGTTTAAGCAATTTACTTAAGATATTAGAATAGGAAGTATTGAATAATAATAAAAAAGAAGACTAATAAGTATTTTGTTTCTAATATGTCTCATAATACGGTGGGAAAAGTCAAAGAACCAATATGGGCTTATAAATATTTATCCCTCTATGCAACTAGATGATTTCATGGAAAAGAAATTTCTAAGCCAAAATGATTCTATATTTTAGAACAAACACACATTAATTTATTTAACCAATTTATTTAACTTAGGTGCTGAACCTATTTAATTTTGGTCACATTCACATTGATTACTTTCACTAATTTATTTAAGATATTTTAAACCAACTTTTTAAATTTAAGTAATAGAAAATTTTAAAAATGAATTAGTGCAGAAGACAGATATGGATATTTGTCTCGTCTCCCTGCTTATTCACACGTAAATTTCAGCTGATGATCTAACTACTTTGAGCCTGGGAAACGCTGGTATTTCAAATATTGAAAGTGAAGCTCTTAAACATCTTCTTTGTGAAAATGATTTATCATATATAGACATACAAATACAATTAGAGACACAACACAGTTTAGCTGATTCACCACCTTCCCTGCCTTACTATACATTTTGCAAATTAGACAACCAAAACTCAGAAAAATTAAGTGACTTTTTCAGTGATGGCCTGTGGCAGAGCTGGGACTACAAGTCAGGAGTATTCATTAAGTGGTTCATTGTTCTTTTCATTCTAATTTATTCATTGAGGATGAGCAGAGAATGGTAAGAAACTAGGAACGAACAAAAACTCCTGCTTCCTAAACAGAATGGTCATGGGTGTCTAGGGTCAGCTACTCCGAAATACTCAGTTAATGCCTCCACTCTTCACTTGCATTTGACTCTGAGACAGAAGGTTATCTCTGGAAAGAAAGAGAAATACCCAACTGCTAGGGAAGGTTTCTAACATTCATGTTTGATTTTTCTTCTATTCTTTTGAGCACTATTAACAAGACTTTAGTTATAGTTAAAGGGAAAGTTTTATTGAATGTAAACATTTTTCACATCGGACACTTTTCCTAGCTTCCCAGAGCAACAGCGCGATAAATATTGCTTTCCAGAAAGTTAAGAAACTAATACTAAATGAATCCACTGCCTACATCCAGGAAGGTTCAGGAGCCAGGAATTCAAAATCCTTGGTGTCAAGTGTCACCCAAACCTTGGGGCTGGGGAGTGGAGAAAGGCTTTCTGGTAAGAACTTTAAGATTCCTGCTTCTGTCTTCTATTATATCATCCTTTGATGCGCCACTCTACAAAACATTCCCCCGAAAAAAGTAAAAAAGTAAAAACTCTGCTGCTGAGGATGCAGATGATTATTTAACGACAAAAAATGTCCGTGCAACTTGTAAACGATATTCACACCCTGTTGCCCCCTCCTCTCCCAAAATGTGTAAACCCATATTAGGCCTTGATCTACACAAATCAGCAGAGCACTGGTGGGCATTTCTGGGATTAAGACTGAGCTTCATTTTCTTTTGAGCCTTTTCTTAAGCGTCCACATTCCCCACTATGCATTTATTAGGTTGATGCAAAACTAATTGCACCAACCTATATATGTAATTAGGGAAAAGTAATTACTTTTGCACCAACCTATGTATGTAATTAGGGAAAAACTATATCTGGCATATTTTTAAAACTCTTTGAGAGGCGAAGGGTAGTTATTTCCTGCTGGGTAGTGTACTCCTTTTCCTTGCTTCACAAACAAAACCCGGATGTGACTTGGAAACGGAAAAAAAAGGGGGGGGGGAGTGCGGGGGGTGGGGCGAGGAGTAAAAAAAGTAAAATTTCTGCTGTCCCCAGTAAGGCAGCCCTAGCCCAGCCGCCCCCCGCGGGCGTGGCAGTCCTGAGTCAGGGCCTGTCCGGGGCCAGCATCCCTGCTGGGCGATTGAGCGGCGGGAAGTTGCTTTTGAACCAGTCTCAAAGTTAACCCTAACCTAGCACCCAAGCAGCCCTCCTAGGTTGTGGGGACTTGAGAAAAGGCAGAGTTCTCATGTCCTAGGACGCTGGGGCGCGCTGACGTGACGGGGTCCCGGAGGAAGCGGAGCCCTCGGGGAGCTGGGGACCGCAGCAGGGCTGCAGTCACATCCTGTGCGGGTGAGCGGCGGGCCAGGCCCGGCAGTTGTTTCGACACGCGCCGAGCTTCGCAGCTCTTCCAGGGGCTCCGCTGCCCGAGCTAGCCCGGGCCCAGTTCTGGGGCGAAAATGCCTGCCCTTCACATCGAAGATTTGCCAGAGAAGGAAAAACTGAAAATGGAAGTTGAGCAGCTTCGCAAAGAAGTGAAGTTGCAGAGACAACAAGTAAGTTGGCTGTTCCGGAATATTTCCTTCTCTGAAATGAAGCAGGGTTCGGTTTGTCCTGCTTAGTAACAGTAAAGCAAATAGTTTAGCTTATTTTTCCCCCGCTTTGTAGCTTCTCTTCTCACCACCCCTTTGACAGTGCCTGGGGACTGCCAGCTGATGTGGGGAAATCGTAGGAGGTAGAGGAGAGGTCTAGGATCCGATAAGGAATTTAAGGCCAAATGTCCTAACTTTTTAAGATGCCTAGGAAGCAAGAAATCTTGCTTTCCATTAGACAGCTGTTTTTCGAAACTCACTTGTAGGAAAAAAGTGGATAGCTACTTGGTTCTTTCATCTTTTACACTACTAGAAAGGATGATATTTGAAAGAAATTTTCTAAAACCATATTGTAAAGTCTTACAAGTACATTATTTAATTTTGAATTTCACCAGTGGCCTTCAGTGATATGCAAAGAACAGTCCACCGAAACTTGGGAGCAAAATATTAGAATTTCTATCTTTATTTATTTGTAAATCTCATCCCTTTATAATTTTCACTTTATGTTTTATAAGTGCGATTAACACAGTAGTATCTGTACTTATTTATACAGAATTATACATATACTGAGGTGTATATGAAAAATTTTTTAGTGATCACAATTTAAAAGTTTTAGAGACTATTGATAGAGATTGCCATTTCAATGAGAACATATGACCCAGTATTCAATATTCTCCACTGAAACCTCTTGGTTTTATAAATTTTATAAGTTTTACTTCAATTTCTTACTGGTCATCAGGACCTTCCTTTAGACACTAATCTCTCTTCCTGTTTTAACTCAGTCAGGCATCCTGTAGAGTAGGAAAAGTCTTTGAATAGATATTGTTTAAAGATAATTAACCTTTCCTTTTCAGCAAGAAAATTTTGAACTGATCTTATTTATTATGGTTTAGCACTAGAAAAAAATTAAGAAAAACAATGGAAATGAAGCATTATAATATGCTCACTTGCCTTCCTGTTCTAGTTGTAATGAATCTGGTAAGGGCAAGAGTCTTTACTCTTGAGTGATGATTAGAAGATGCAGGCATTTTTGTGTTTTACTTTTTACATATTTCTTTTCTCAAATTTAACCTTTCACATCCAAATCCCTGCTCTTCCTAGCTTTTATCATGAGATGTCCCTTCTATCATGTTAACGGTTTGTAGCTTTAAAAATACCAATGTGTTTAAAGGGGAAAAGAAGGAAGTTACACTACCCACTCAATAAGCATGCTTCTTGACACCTTAAGGGACCCATTTTATGGATGGCAAAGTTGCCGGTACAGCAAGTGTTGGCCACTTAGATATGTTCACACAATAAACCTTAGGAGTTACATATTAAACAGAGTTTCATATACTGAAGTACAGCACCGAAATACAGCATTGCCTATGCAAGGTTCTAATATCTTAATATTTGGTATCACTGTGCAGAACTTAGGAAAAAAGACAAGTGTCTTCTACTTATCCAGAGTTTTAAGTTAACTATTGAACAGGGATGTGGATGCAACTGACTATGTAAAAATTGACTGTATCATTCATTAGCAATTTCTCCCTGCTAGCCAGCCTGACCCTTTAGGACACGGCCTGTGGCATCAACTTCCCACCTCCAGAAACCTCAAGTGTATGCCAGAGGGAGAAAAAACTTTGGGTACATGTGTATCCTTAGGAAATACAGAAAGAGGCATCTAAATCTCAAAAATAATATTAAGACATTTGATTATACACTTGGAATTATACATGGTTACTGCTAGACAAGCATTGGAATGCTTAGAGATCATTCATCTCCCTCACTTTAAGGATTAAAAAAAACTTGAGTCCCACAAAGGCTAACGAGCTCCTCATTTAAGACCACAGAGATAGATAGTGATAGGGCAGGTACTAAAACATTCTTCTTCTCATGCCCAGTCCATTATTCAGTCAATAAATAGTTAACATCTAGGCTACGTGTTCAGTCCTTAACTCAGGCCCAGACAAAACTTGCAAGTTCTATTCTGGCTGTAGTTAAATGTTTATCAAACATATCCTCTTGATTACAGAAGGAAATGTATCAAAGGAGTAATTACTCACATTTGGAGGTTGCAGACCTCTTCTGAAACCTAATGAAAAAACCTTGTAAGAAAAGATTCAATGTAGGGAGCATGAATCTTGTCCATAAATTAACTTGGGACCACAGACCCTAGGTTATGGACACGTGCATTATCAACTCTGAAAATTCACTTAAAATGTATGCACTCTGAATGTCAGCAACAATTGAGAGCAAATGTTACCTGAAAGAATTGTACCTGAAAGATTTTATTTTGCCAGATTTTAAGTCACAGAACTACATCACCTAGTTTTCAATTTGAGGTCATAGGCTTCCACACTTTTTTGCAAAGGATAATCATTTGGGATGTGGAAGTAAAATATTAGCATTTATATTTTTGTTTAGTTTTAAACCTCACCCATTAATAATTTCCAGTTTATGTTTTATAATTTTGCATGATGTATTAACAAAACAGTATCTGTACTTATTTGTCGTTAAAAGTTATATTCATTTTGGGATACATATGCAAACATATTTTAGTAGTAACCATTAAAACAGTTTGAGGTTACTAATTTAGATTACTAATTCAGTGGGAACATTTGCCCAGTTTTCCTAGGTCTCCATTTAAATTTGCTGGTGTGGCCCAGCGCAGTGGTTTACTTCTGTAATCCCAGCACTTTGGGATGCCGAGGCGGCCGGATCACGAGGTCAGGAGATCGAGACCATCCTGGCTAACACGGTGAAACAAAATTAGCAGGGCGTGGTTGTGGGCGCCTGTAGTCCCAGCTACTCGGGAGGCTGAGGCAAGAGAGTGGCGTGAACCCGGCAGCTGGAGCTTTGCAGTGAGCCGTGATCATGTCACTGCACTCCAGCCTGGGTGACAGAGCGAGACTCCGTCTCAAAAACAAATAAATAAATAAATTAAATTAAACTAAATTTGCTGGTACTTCTGTAATTTTTACTGTAAATTTCTTACTAGCAACACAGGGCTTCATTAAGACCCTAATTTCTTTTATTTTGCTTTTATTCTTTTTTTTTTAACTCCTTCTTGCAACCTGTCTTTTAAGGATAGATAGACTTTTTGAAGAAACGATTCTTGTAAGAATAGACTTTTTGAAGACATTATTCATTTTTTTCTCCATCACAGAAAAAATTTATTCTCAGATAAGCCTAATAAGTCTCAGAATCTAAGTCTTTTATTATGATCATTGCCCTCATGCAGCAGGAAGAAATTCTGAGGAGCAACACAGAGTGCAATATTTGGACAACTCCAGTCTTTCCAGAGTCAGGCTTTTTCCAAAGCTTCTATCGTTTTGTGAAATTTCAGAACATGACACACACCCATAAGTGAGAATCATGGCATTATACACCCCAAAACATTTGGGGATTATCTACTACTGCACCTGCTCATTAGCATGAAAAATTAAAATAAGATTATATTTCAGTTCCTAAAATATTGTAGATGTGTCATAATTGTATTTTAGCAGAGGAAGGAAATCATATGAGACACAATGGAAAAAAAATGCTGGAGATGCCAGCAATGCAGTGACTTTCAAACATTTTTGAATTTGACCAATGACCAACAGTAAGAAATATGTTTTACATAGATTGTATCATAGATATAGTAATATAATAAAAATATTAGAGTGCAGAACCCAGATTTTATATATGTATCATATATAATATATATACACACAAATATATATATATATGTAAAAAAATGTTTAAAAACTGCTTGTATTCAGTTATACTAATTTCATTTAGGGGTAGGGACAAAGTTTAAACAACCATAACCTAATATATTCTTTTTTTTTTTCTATACTTAAGGTGTCTAAATGTTCTGAAGAAATAAAGAACTATATTGAAGAACGTTCTGGAGAGGATCCTCTAGTAAAGGGAATTCCAGAAGACAAGAATCCCCTTTACAAGAAAAAGGCAGCTGCGTTATTTCATTAAAACTTGGAGAAAACTGCATCCTAAGTGGAAGAACTAGTTTGTTTGTTTTCCCAGAAAAACCAACATGCTTTTAAGGAAGGAAGAATGAAATTAAAGGAGACTTTCTTAAGCACCATATAGATAGGGTTATGTAGAAAGCCATATGTGCTACTCATCTTTGCTCACTATGCAGTCTTTTTAAAGAGGGCAGAGAGTATCAAAGGTGCAATTATGGAAATATGAGCATTACTTGAGCATGACACTTTCTTTCAGTATATTGCTTGATGCTTCAAATAAAGTTTATCTTGGGAAGATGAGTGTTGGTGATTTAAGAAGGCCTTTTCATCCATTAACTTTTATATTTCTCCCCAAAATCTTTTGGGTTGTGGAATATGATTGGGCTTGGAATATGATTGAGAAGATTAGGTGGTTCGACAAATCACATCTCCAATCCAGCTCTCTGCATCAACGGTTTAGAGTGCTGAGTTCTGACCCAGGAATGTGTTTGATCTAACCTTAACTATTTAGAAACTGAGCAGTAGAATTCCTATAACATTGACTGAAGTCCACATTACTTGAGTCAGGAACAAGACCAAGCCACATCTATGTTAGTACTTTCCTAGTTTATCATCATTTAGATCTTCTTAATAGTGTTCCTGTAGGAGTAGCCTTGAAGAAAAGACTGAGTTGGGGATCAGGAAGGGTGCCCTGGCCTCTCCGCAGCATAGTGGCCAGGCCAGCCCTGGCTTTGAGGACCAGTACTTAACCTGCACAGAGCTACATCCCCATGTGCTCTCCAGGTCTTGGGCACGGCATACTCACGAGTTCTGTGGCATTGTGCAGACACTTGGATTCTCTGACTCATCTTACAGCATTTTCCAGCAGGCCTGGCTAACATGGCTCTTTTTCTTCTCCTCGAAGGCACCAGTGAATTTTGCCACTTTAAAGATTGTTGGTCTTTTTTTACTGATGTGTAGGAATTCTTCATATATTCTGGCCTTTATTCATGGTTGGAGATATGTGTTGCCAATATTTTCCCGTCTGTGGCTTACGTTTTCACAGTGACCTTTCCTTCAGTGGTTTCATCCTGCAGGGGCACTGCCAGGTATAACTCCTGCTGAAGTTCATAAACAAGGGTACCTGAAGCCCAAATCTCAAAAAAAGGAACTTTTTTTCTCCTTGAGCATTCTCCCGCTTTCTCCTCCATCTTGGTCAAAATTGCTCCAGGTTTGAGCCAAAAGAAAAACATGGAAAAACCCTTGCTGGTTAGCTCTAGCTCAAATGGACTTTAGTTATTAACTTGACCTGCAATTTTCAATGTGGCACCAGAAGCCAATATTTCTCCTTGAACTGGATCTTTTCTCCCACTTAGACATGTAGGTAACTTTACTATCAAGCCAGAGAGGTGCCTGTAACCTGTAAGCATTCCCTAAAGTATATCAAGCATCCTCACTCTGAAATTCCTTTCTCCCTCTCCTGGGAAAGAACAGTATCACCTCTAGGCTTTTGAAAATAGGTTACACAAACCAAGAGCAGGAACTATTTCCTTCAGTTTCCTGGACATTTTCCAAGTGATGATGTCAATTGAGATTACTGAGAGCCAAGGGATAATTTAACCCAAATTACTACTCCTAGGAAGGATTTAGGAATAGTAAAGGTATATTTCTTCAAACAGCATAGAACAATTAGTACTATTAGTCATTTAACATTTAACATGGTATGGAAATAGAGCTTTGGTGCCTGTAAAGTTTTACTTTTTATAGCTGTTTCATTCTTTGCACTCATAAAGTTTTCTTTTGTTGCTTATGAAAGCAAACACATTTATTCCGGTTACTGGGGCAGATTAAATCACCTGCTTCTTTTATGAAGGGCAAGACACATTTATTCCCTAACTGTTTGGGAGTTTTGATTACAAACCTATATCCTGATGTCTATTAGCAGATTCAGCTATCCTTTCATGTACACTCCCAAGTCCTAGCTTTGGCTCTTCATGTCTCTTTCAACCATATGATCAATCAGTCAAGACGACCTCTGGTTTTTCCTGAATAAATATCTAATCTTGTAGGTGTTTCTATTAAATCTAATTTTGTTTCTTTTTCTTACTGTTTATCATTATAACTCAGCCAACACGTAGGACTGCAATGAAAATATTTTAATTTCTACTGTTCAACTGCTAAAACTTATTAGCTTGTATTAGAAAAAGAAAAAATGCATCCACTATATATTTGGATATATTGTAAATGTAACCTTTGGTGACTGAGAAATTTGTTAAGCAGAATTTAAATTATGTATCCAATTCATTCCAAGTGTATAGTGGCGTAATTATTTACTATTTGATTAAAAATAGTTATCATGCATTGTGTAGCGAGACTTAGGTTCTATAAACTCAGATAGAATTAGGAAATCAGGCCGGGCGGGGTGGCTCACCACCTGTAATCCCAGCACTTTGGGAGGTGAGGCAGGCAGATCACGAGGTCAGGAATTCAAGACCACCCTGACCAACATGATGAAACCCCATCTCTACTAAAGACTACACAAAAATTAGCCGGGTGTGGTGGCGCGCACAGGTAATCCAGCTACTCAGGAGGCTGAGGTGGGAGAATCACTTGAACCTGGAGGCGGAGCTTGCAGTGAGCCGAAATCGCGCCACTGAACTCCAGCCTGGGCGACAGAGCGGACTCCCTCTCAAAAGAAAGAAAAAGAAAAATCGGGCTTTTCTATTTCTAGGCAGAAACTACCTTACAAGCTCACCCACACTTGGTATTGAAAGACCAAGTTTTCTGTATGCTAGATGCAATTAATATCTCACTATTGTCTAAAGTTGCATTTCTTTGATTCCAGTGATTTTTAGTCGGTTTTCACATGTGTCAATTTTCTCTTTTGAAGTTGTCTGTTCTCATCTTTTGCTCACTTAAAAAATTGTGTGCTGCACGTTGGGAGGCCGAGGCGGGCGGATCATGAGATCAAAGCTCGAGACCATCCTGGCTAACACGGTGAAAACCCATCTCTACTAAAAATACAAAAAATTAGCCAGGCGTGGTGGCGGGCGCCTGTAGTCCCAGCTACTCCGGAGGCTGAGGCAGGAGAATGGCGTGAACCCGGGAGGCGGAGCTTGCAGTGAGCTGAGATCCGGCCACTGCAAATCCCGCCTGGGCGGCAGAGCGAGACTCCGTCTCACCAAAAAAAAAAAAAAAAAAAAAAGAGTGTGCCTTTTTATTATTGAGTTGTAGGAATTCTTTATACATTTTGGTCATTCATTATTTGTTGAATATATTAAATACCTTCTCCCATTCCATGACTTAACTTTTCACTTTGTCTTAGCTTCTGATAAAAGATTTTTAATTTTGCTGAACTTTCTATTTTGAAATAATTATAAATTCACAGGCAGTTGTGAAGGAGGTACAGGGAAATCTATTGCACTCTTCCCCTAGCCTTCTCCAAAGTTAACATTTTATACAACTGTATTACAATATCAAAACTAATAAATTAACATTGTACACTCATACTGCTAGTTCAGTTTTCAATAGTTATACATGTACTCATGTGTGTGTGTAGCTCTATGCAATTTTATCATCTCTATAATTAGATTAAGACTGCTACATAAACTAAATCATACAGTAGCTATCCTTTTGAGGTTGGCTATTATCATTCAGTATAATTTCTTCAAGGTTTATCCAAGTTGGTTGTATGTATAAATAGTTTATTTCTTTTTATTGCTGGGTAGTATTTTATGCTACAGAGGTGCCACAGTTTAACAATTTATCCATCAAAGAACGTCTGGGTTGTTTTCAGTTCTCTGCTAATGCAAGTACAGGTGCTACGAACATTCATGTACAGATTTTTGTATGAAGATAAGTCTTTTCTCATGTGGAATAAATTTTTAGGAATACATTTGCTAGGTTCTATAGTAAATTTATATTTACTTTAAAAAAAAACTACCAAACTGTTTTCCACAGTGACCGTACCATTTTACATTTCCATCAGCAATGTATGAGCAATTCAGTTTCTCTACATCTTCATCAGTATTTGGTGTTATCACTATTTTCCATTTTAGCTATTCTGGATAGTAATATCTCATTATTGTTTTAATTTTACCTCTCGGATGGCTAAAGATTTTGAACATTTTTCATATATTTGCTATGCGTATATCCTCTTTGATGAAATGTCTATTCATGTATTTTGCTTATTTCTAATTTGATTGTTTATTTAATGTTGAGGTTTGAGAGTTCTTTATATATTTGGGATACAAGACCTTATTAGATACGTGATTTGTAAATATTGTCTTCTATTCTGTAATTTGTTTTTTAAACTTTTTAATGCTTTTTTTAATCTTACAGAGTAGATGTTTTCAATTTGATGAGGTCCAGTTTATCATTTTTTTTGTCTTATAGATCAAGATTTGGGTGTCAAGTCTAAACAATATTTACCTATTCCTCATCCCAAAGACTTTCACTTGTGTTTCTTCTAAAAATTTTATAGTTTTATGTTTTCTATTTAAGTCTGTAATCCATTTTAATTAATTTTTATATGAGGTGTGAAGTTTAGATACAGGCCTGCTCTCTCTCTTCCTTTTCTCCTTCCTTCCTTTATTCCTTTCCTTCCTTCCTTCCTTCCTTCCTTCCTTTCTTCCTTCCTTCCTTCCTTCCTTCCTTCCTTCCTTCTTTCCTTCCTTTGACAGTGGTCTAATTGCTCTAGGATCATTTATTGAAAAAGTTATTCCTTCTCCATTTAATTCCTTTTGCTACTTTGCCAGAAATTAACTAGACATATTTGTGTGATTCTATTTCTAGGTGTCCTTTTCTTTTTATTCATTTATGTATTTATTCCTTTGCCAGCTCCATACCACCTTGATTTCTACCACCATATAATAGGCAGTAACACCAGGAAGAGAGATTATTTATACTTTATTCATCTTTTTCAAAATTGTTTCGAATATTATATGGGCTTTCTCTTTTCATGTAGAATTTTACAATGTTTATGTCTACCAAGTAAATACATGGTCTCAGCAGTAGAGTGGAGATGACAGATAATATAATCAGTAGGCCTGAACACAAATGTATAGGATTTACTCAATCTGAACAGCAGAGAGAAGATAGGGTTTTAAAAATGAACGATCCACAGTAATACATAGAGTAGTAACAAGACATCTAGCACTGGCATAATCAGAGTCCAGGAAGAAAAGGAGAAGAGTGTGAGACTGAAAAAGTAGTAAAAGAAAAGTAATGGATAAAAATGTACAGAATTTTGTAAAAGATGT